TCCACATCTGAATCAGATTCTTCTTAAGACACCACAATCCCATCAATTTAACCCTCATCATCAGTATCCTTGATATTAATATTATCCATTTCCTGAGTCGCATCACCATTATCATCATTTAGATCACCTAAATCAAGCTGTCAAATCAACCTGTGGAACAAAAGCAGCAACCTGTTTACAGACAGCTCGCTGTTGACAATTGTTTTCGTTTTCCGCCAGTTTCTGATTTTGATCCGGCATATCCCAAGTGTCCGACTTATCTTCTTCGATAGAAAATTTAATAATAGAAAACATCTACACAACCTGTTGATTTGTTGGGTCACACTGTGAGGGAGCACAAACATAGCGGCCCAATAGTTACTCATAGCCATTAAGACAGAGTTAACAAGCTGCATTCGACCTGAGTAACTCATCATTTTTGAGCTCCAGCACTTAATTTTTGTAGCAATCTTTTGAACCAGCATCTCACAGTCCTTCTGGCTCCATTTCCTGGATGAAATTGGCATGCCAAAATATTTCATGGGAAATGAACTTTTAATGTTTTAGTTTTTTTTCATTGTCACTCTATTTTTGTTGTGTCAATGAAAATATTTCTTTTTGGTTCAATTATTTTAATCTAACAACAAAGGCAAATAAGTATTTTCATATGCAAATCGGGTCGGTAACCGTCCAGCGTATTTATGTATCACCGTATCGGTATCATTTTTCAGTTTCTATGAATGAGCATACTGTTATTATTATTTTTAGTTATATTGAAAAGTTCAATGGAATTAGGTAGTCCATATTATGAACAAGTCAGCCATAACTATTATAGATAATCAAAGAACATCTAAAAAAAAGAAATAAATAAATCTGTTGAATTTTATGAAAAAAACGGAGTCTCGTTTTTAACATATATGAGCCCCATTTACGCCCAAAAAAAATAATTTTTGGATAATTAATTAAGGATTTTGAACACAAAGTACTCTCAATTGACAAGAAGAATTAAAATGTTATATAGTACTGTATGCTATTCAAACTATAAAGAGGTCTTTAACAAACTAATATATTTCATCAAATATATTGTTAGAATTAGTTCAAATGTTTGTCTAAGGGTCCGTTTGGTATATTGATGGGTTTTACTTTGTTATTAGGTATGATAATATGAAGAGTTCTATGAGTATACCCATTCCAAAAATAGTCGTTTAGTTTATAAAGGTTTATGTGTCATTTCATTTTTTATATTTATTTTATTTAATTAAATTAATGGTACAACAAGTTAATAAAACAATTTTAAAAAAATTAAAAATTATTTATATTAATTAGTCAATTTGAATAATTTAGTTTATAGTTTCGAAAAATAATTAGTTTGATCGAGTTCGAATTACTATTATTTTAATATAAAATCTAAAACAATTAACAAATTCTGCAACTCAATCTCAATACGAATCTTAAAAAAATAAATTTAACATCATTTAATGATGGTGGTAATTTAAATATGACTAAAAAATTTTAAATAGAAACTTGAATTATATAATGAAGAAAATTCTTAAAAAACTTGAATTATATAAATTATTATAAAAATAAATTTTCTTTTTTTTTTGGAGAAACTGTAAAAACTTTATATATAACTTGAAAGTGCATATTTACAACCAAAATGTCATGTTCTAATCAACTATACAAGATAATTTTGTGCTGGAAAAACTATTGAAATAGCTCATTTTCTGTCTGAGTAAACTTCAAACTATACTTTCCTTTTAACCTCAAATATAGCTCCTTCTGTATTGCCTCCACAATCAGATCTGCATTTCTAGCTTCTCCTCTAAATACCCTCCTATTCTTTTCTTGCCACAAATGGTATAAGCCAGCAACAAAAGCAGCACACCACAGCTTGTATTTATACTTGGTTCTTTCCCAACTCTTTCTGACAGCTTTTCTCTAGAGATTTCAATCTAGAGGGACTCTTCCGATACCCAACCAAGACAAGATTTTACTCAGTACATCAATTGTTGCAGGGCATTCAAAGAATAAGTGCTGAGGATTTTCAGAATATGACTGGCACAACACGCAAAGAGGATCTACCTCTAAGACGAACATTGATGCCAGTGTATCCTTAATCAACAGCTTCCCTTGCCAAAGAATCCATGCCATAAAAGCATGCTTAGGGAGGTTAAAATAGGACCAAATAGCATCTGCCTCTGGGGCTTTTTCAGTTTCACCCCTGAGCCATTTATAACCAGCAGCTATACTGTATTTCTCACAGGCTGTTCCTAACCCTTTTTGCTCATTAAAACCAGTCTTTCCAATATCCCTAACCTTTATGATTTGTTTCCAATGCCAACTGGCATCTAACTTGCTTTCAACTTCTCAAATAGATTGTTGTTTTAAATAAATTTCATGAACCCACTTGACCCAAAGTGAATCTTTTTTCCTAACAATATTCCATACTTGTTTTAATATTGCTGCTAGGTTCTATATTTTGATATCTTTTAGTCCCAAACACCCTTCTCTTTTCATTTTACAAACAGTTTCCCATGTTACCAAAGCTAATGATCTCCCAGATTGCTTTACCCCCCAAAGAAAGCTTCTACAAACTCTATTAACCTGGTTAATAACATTCTGAGGCAGAATGAAAGTACTAGCCCAATAGATGTGCATGGTCATGAGAACTGAATTTATAAGCTGCACTCTACCTGCACAAGAAAGATTCCGAATGCTCCAGCATTTTATTCGTGCTTTCATTCTGTGGATCAAGCTATTACACTCGACTTGGGACCACTTTTTGGGAGATAAAGGAGCGCCTAGGTAGCGCATTGGAAACTCTCCCTCTTGGAATCCTGTGATATCACATAGTCTTGACCTTTTAGCAGAACTAACCCCACCAAAGTAGATGCTGGATTTCTGCAAAGTTTGGATGCAATCCAGTGGAGTTTGAGAACTCTTCTAAACCTGCTTTCATACCCTGCATAGTTGATTCATCAGCTTTACAAAACAGCATTAGGTCATCAGCAAAACATACATTGGTTAGTTTCAAATTTTTACACAAAGGGTGAAATTTGAAACTGGAAGAAGATGCAACCAATTTAAGTTTCCTGGTTAAATATTCCATCACTAAAACAGATAGTAATGGGGAGACAAGATCTCCTTGCCGTAATCCTCTCTTGCCTTCAAAATACTCCACATTCATTCCATTCAAGGCTACTGTATAAAATGCTGTGGAAATGCATTCCATAATCCACATAGTAAACTTCTATGGAAATCTATAACCCACCATCATCTCCTCAATAAAGCTCCATTCCACTGTATCATACGCTTTCCGGATGTCAATTTTCATCAGGCACCTTTCTGAGATCCTCTTTCTTCTATAAAGCCATATCAACTCTTGAACAATCAGCACATTATGAAGGATCAACCTCTGACTTACAAAAGCTCCTTGGTTCTCATTAACTAGTACAACCAGTATGTCCCTCATCCTTTCACATAGAACCTTAGAAATGCACTTATACACCGCATTGCAACAAGCAATGGGTTCTGGGGAGCATCTATTTTTGGGATCAGGGCCAAACAGGTGGAATTCATTTACTTCAATAACTCTCCAGCACTAAAGAATTCATGTACTGCTGCAATTACCTCTTCTCTAACAAGACTCCATGATGCTTTGAAACAACCACTGCCATAGCCATCAGGGCCTGGGCTTTTATTGTTATTGATCATATCCAGTTGCTGCTTGATGGTCAGTCTTGGTCCCTGCAAGAAAACCTAAATATCAGCTGGAGACTTGCTAGCTTTCTGTCCCAGCACTTTAAAGAAGTTCAGAAAATGATTCTCAACTGCCTTCCATTCAGTTTGCAAGGTGCCATTAGACTCTGGATAGGACCATATTCTATTTTTCATCATTCTTTGCTTCAATTTTGCATGGAAAAACCTGTATTCTCATCCCCTAAACTGAGACTATCCTCTTTAGCCTTTTGAAGCAGAAAACTATCCAGTGCTTTAGATAGTTGAAAATAATCCTGATTTCTTTCTTTTTCAACAATCTGGGCTTATAATTCATCAGGATGATCATTTAGCAAGTTTTGAGCCTCCATGAGCTTCTCATATGCCTCTTGCACTCTATTCTGTATTCCTGAGTACCTTTTTTTTTTAAAAAAAAAACTTTTCAAAACTCCTTTCAACCTTTTGAGCTTCTTAGCCAGCTGGTACATTTTTGTCTCATATATCTTCTGGTCCCAGCTTGCCTTAACCAGTGGGAGGAAATCAGGGTCCATACTCCACAAGTTAAAGGATTTGAAAGGCTTTGGATGATGATGCATCTTTACATATGTCCGTGTAACCAGAGGAGTGTTATCTGATACACCCTCTGATAATGCAGTCATAATGGACTGATCAAACCTCATCATCCAATCAGCATTGACTAAAGCCTTGTCTAAACGTGACAAACCTCTCTCATTTCTAATTTTTCTTGTTGGACCAAGTAAAAAAGTGACCTTGGTGCTTCATGTCTTGAATTTCACGTTCCTCTATACAAAGCTTAAAGCCTTAAATTTCTGATAAGGCAACCGGATTACCACTTAGTCTTTCATCCACTGCAAGATCATTGTTGAAAACCCCAGTGACTATCCATGCTGTATTTATTCGTTTTGAAATCTCAATTAAATCCTCCCATAATTGAGCTCTGTCATTGGCATCATTACTAGCATAAACAGCCATCAAATAAAACTCTTGGTTACTCTTCGTCTTGACAAAACAATGTACCAACTGATCCGTACAACTCAACACAGTCAGTGTAATCAAACCAGAATTCCAAATCAAACAAATCCTCCCTCTAGGATGCTTACTAAAATTAACAAAATGGCAGTGGTGTGGCCATGCCTTCTTCAAGTACTCCTCCCCTTTATTCTGTGATAACTTTGTTTCTACTACCATAGCTACTTCAATATCATAAAATTCTACTAACCTTTTTAATTCCTTTTGTTTTATGAGACTATTTATGCCTCTGATATTCCAAGTGAGAAGAATTTTCATGCATATGCAGGATCAGGGACTGCTGAAATATCCTTCTGAATCTCATTTTCCTTCGCCTCCTCTCTGTTACTTGATTCAGCATCATCAGCATATGCCAAAACATGAAACTGAGAATGTTGTACTCCAGTGTTGTGTTTGCTAATTATTGCTGGTTCTCCCCCTGCACCTTGCTTCCTAGCATTCACTTCCTGAACTTCAACATCATGACCCTCCTCTCTGACTACAGTCTTGCCTTTTCGTATTCTTCTCTACACTTTTCCTGTGACAGCATTAGTCCTGGGCTCTAACTCCTTAGAATCTTTTGTTTTCAGTTCAGCTGGCTTCTTCCTACAATCTTCTTTTCCATGGCCATACGTTTTACAGTGGGAGCACATTGTTGGACGCCATTCATAATAGACTGCCTGGGACTGAATTACACCATGTTCATCTTCAAAAAACATTTCCAGAGGGGGATAATCTTGAATTTCCACCATAACTTTGTTTAGAAAGCATCAATCATATCACGAAGTTTCCGTAAACCGAGTTCATTTTCTTGCTGAGGATATGTGAGGTTATTCTAAGACCTCCAATGCCTCTTAGATTCCTCATCAGAATTTTCCCACAGAAACTTTTCAAACTTAACTTCCTTAGCAGATAAAACCGCTTTCGGAGGATCCATAGCTGCCCACGTGTGAATAGGGATAGCCGTAAGAACGTGCGTGATCAAGAGCAGCCTACCTCCTTGTGACAAGTTCTTATTCTTCCAATTCGCTAACCTTCGGTCCACATGATCCAGAAGATATTGATAATATTTTGATTTTTTCCTCCCTACATAAATTCGACAGCCCAAGTAGGAAAAAGGAGAAAGACCTTTCTCAATACCAAGCTCCCATTGTACTGTATTTATCCGCTTGAACTGCATTTTTTAGAAACCAGAAAAAAGCTTTTCATCCTGCTTATCTTTTGCCTCGAAGCCGCCTCATAGTCTGAGAAAAAAGCATTCAGCTCTTGTAAGGATTTTGTCAGGCCCCTTGTGAAGACAATTAAGTCATCAACAAAGCTTAAATGAGAGAGCGGTAGTGAAACAGTCGGAGTCCCATAATTAGCAACTAGATGTTAAACCCGCGCGATGCGCGGGGTTTATTTGTATACATTATAAAAAATCAACAAAAAAATATAAAACGTGTAAAATGTATTTGGAGTCCATATTAAGATACATTACATAACTAAAATTAAATAAAGGTGTAATTGTAAAGATAAAATAATGCATATCATTTGAAATGCAAGTATTCACTTTATTTTTATTGAAGGAGAAGAACTGGACAATAACACTCATAAGCAGAGTAAAATAAATAAGATTGTATTAATGTTACATATTGAATGAAAAGATAAAATGATTGTACGCGTAAAATATATAATGAAGTAATTATCAATAGTAGATGGTAGATTATGTGTGACTGAAGTGTGAAGTTTAAAATTTTTATGGTTATTTTGTTATAATTAAAGATTCTATGGTACTGTTTGGCCCAATAATATTTTAGAGCAACAAACCAACTGTAGAGTTAAAATTTTTGTCCTTTAATCCCTTTTTGCTATGACAATAGAAAATAATAATTAATGAAATAATAAAATTATGGGTAAAAAAAATATAAATTTAGTAACGTCTAAATAAGAACTCTAAAACATCATTTTGCAAAAGAATATACGGAAAAAAATCATATATAACCTTAATTAACCATTACCTCCCATGCCACATGATCGACCCACTATTAGTTCATCACTTTCAGAACAACAAACCAATTGTAGGGCTAAAGTTTTTGCCCTTTCATCTTTGGATTTCAGGTTATTTTGGGGAGGGGGAAATTTTTGCAGCACTGGAACATACTCATGGTTTGTGTGGCATGTATAAATAGAGATAAATTGGGATTGATGATAATTGATTATCCAAAATTTCAGTGATAAAGATAAAGTTTATAACAATTTTTTAGATATTATTAAGGAAAGATTATATTTATTTGGGTAGATATGATATTACACAAATAAATGCATTGGTTTGAAATTCAAAAGATAACATTTAATTATAGTTAAATACATCCTTTTAGTAATAATTGAAGGCAAATTTTGTACCTTTTTTTTTCTTTTTTATTGGCGAAAAATACAGGATCATGTTTTTGGGAGAAGATTTTAAAGATAACATTAATGTTGAATGATTGGTATTTTTTTTTTATTTGTAGTCTATTGATTTACATGATTGGGAGGGAAATTTTTTTTTGAGACAGATTAATTAAATGAGTCCAGTAGTAACTTTGGGGATTCTTTTGGGAGGGGAATAATTCTGGTGCATTAATATTCATTAATCTCGTCCATTAAATTTAATTAATTTTTATTTTCCTATTTTAAACTATAGTTTTAAATGCCATTTGATAAAACTTTATTTACATAAAATTTGAAGGACTATTAGTATAATTATTGTAAATATTTTTTGACTCAACCATTAGAATTCTTTTTTATTTTCTCTCTCTGGTTTCTCTCTTAGTATAATACTATAGATGCGACCTTCATCAAATAAGAATTTCAGTCCGCGAGACAAGGCCTCCGAAACCAGGATAAAAAGATATGGAGACAAAAGGGTCTCCTTACTTTATTCCCCTGGAAGAATTAAAGAAGCCTACTGGACTACCATTGATTAGAACCGAAAACCAACTCCCGTTTACATTATTCATAATTAGCTTTACAAACAAATCCGGAAAACTGAAAGCAGTTAAAACTGGTTGCAAAAATTGCCACGATACTCTGTCAAATGCTTTCATCATATCTGTTGGAAATAAACTAAATATAGGTGTGAATGAGAATTTGTTTCTCATACGATTAGAAAGTTAGACTTGAGTGTCAAAGAGAATATGTGGCCTGATCAACCACATTTTGTCATTCCAATCACTAAATGGAGAGATGTTACTTCCCATTGAATTTTGATATTCAATAGGAATGAATGTTTGGTTTAATTCAGTTGAAAGGCAAAACCGTTGTAACGGTTTTAACCATCAAGTCAGTGCATTTAATTGAATTAAAAATATCTTAAGTGATATTAGGGCTCTCTCATCGTATATGTATTGCTTTATTTTCAAGAATCCTAGACATAAGAAAAATGAACCAACTTTCTCTTTTCTTCTACCAGCCAAAATCCTACTAACCTTCCTTGGTGTTCATCAAAGTCCTAGTTCATGTTCGTCAATGATTTAGTCTAAGTGCAAGACAAGATCATGTATCCGTTATATCTTGGGAAACAGACGCTCTTACATCCTCTAGCACTCCATGAGAGAGAGCGAATCTGTTTTAAGGAAAGCGTGTTTTCACGTGCCTTGGAATTTCCTCTTCTTGAATTTTTGTTGTCATTAAAAATATCTCCCTATACACTTTTCTAACAATATCCACCTTAGGAATCAAGTTATCTCCCACCGATTTGTCATTCAGAAATTGACAGAGATCTTGAGTGAGCTGCACATTATCAGTAATGTCTCGACTTGATAGAAATGTCGACTGTTCTTCAGAGATTAACTTATGTAGAATCTTTTTCAGCCTCTCTGCAAGGATCTTCGTAAAAATTTTATTCAAGAAATTGCACAAACTTATGGGATGAAAATCTGAAAAATTTGAAACTGCAAGCTTCTTTGGAATAAGAGTTATTAAAGTGCTTCCAATGGCGCTCGAGATTGGAACTCCCAGAAAAAATTCCCGGCAAGCTTGCAACAAATCAAATGAGATAATACTCTAGCATTTTCTATAAACTCACCACCAAATCTATCCGGTCCCGGGGCACTATTAGGATCAAGACTGAAAATTGCCTCACGAATTTCCTCTAGCTCCAACGGGGAGTGAAGAATACGATGATCCTCCTCCGAAATAATCAAAGGAATATGTTGCAATAGCGTTTCTCTAGCTTCTAAACTCCCTTCAGATTCCCCCGATTCCAACAAACCTTTGAAAAAACCAACAGCCTCTTGTTCGATTTCCTCCCTCCGTTGTAGCCAAGAGCCATCTAAAGACTAGATTTTGTGAATAGCCAAATGAGTCCCTTTTTCCGCCAATGAAGCATGAAAAAATTTCGTGTTGGCATCCCCTTCCTTAAGCCATTTGATCTTCATTTTCTTTTTGAAGAATGTGTCCCTCTATTTTAATTTCATAATTAGGTTGGCCTTAGCTTTATTCAGGTCGCTTCTGTTAATGTCGGACTGCGGGAGATCGTATTGCAACTCTAGCTGGCGCACTTCTTCTTCTGCCCTTTTTAAATTATCAAAAACATTGCCAAAAGAATTCCTATTCCACTCTTTTAATTCCCTTTTCAATCTACGTAGCTTGGCTGAGAATGCTAACATCCCATAACCATCTATTGGCAGCTCCCAGTTTCTTTTTAACACCTCCAAAAGCTTAGGCCTGCTGAACCACATGTTTTGAAAGCGGAACGGCCTTGGTCTTTCATCAATATTTGGACTGAAGGTATGCAAAATAGGGCAATGATCTGATGCAGCTTTGTTTAAGTTGTGGACTGATGATGCCGGGAAATTCCCTAACCACTCCTCTGAAAATAAGATTCGATCGAGTTTTTTACTAACCCGACCATTCTGCCTGGAACCTCCCTAAGTATGCTCCTCACCAATGGTCTGCAATCCAGTCAGTTCACAGGCCTCTATATAGCCATTGAACTCATCCATAGCACCTCTATCTTACACACTATGTACCGAATATTCTTCAAGTGATCTAATCACACTGAAGTCTCCCCAGATCATCCATGGGAGGCCATGATTTTGCGAATGAAAGAATGCTAAATCTACCCAGAGACTTCTTCGATCAAGCTTTGTAGACTTTGCATAGACCGCTGTAACATAAAACTTTTTTTCTACTGATGGATGCCCTACCTCAAAATGAAAAGCCGGATCTTGATCAGCCATCAGAATGAAAAGCCGGATCTTGATCAGCCAACATATTAACAGTGAAAGAATCCTTGCAAAGAACCCATAATTTATTTGTACCCGAGGCAAAACCGACTTCAAAATGTAACAGTTTCTTGATCTCTTCCATGTAGCTACACTCCACTGGGTTCTAAAATGATCAAGAATGTTATTGAATGTATACAAACCAGAGAATTCAGCCGCAATTGAGATGGTTCATTTTTGATCCCGCAAATATTCCAGATTAATTGTGTAATGATTGGAAACAATTATGAAAGAAACGAAACCCTTAGTTTAAGCGGGCTGAACGTCGGGGCTCAAGACCCTTTTGCATTTCCAGCCACTCTTCCTTCGTTTTCCTGCCTCTCCTTATGGCAACCGTATTAAACCCTTGGGATTCATCCAGTTCACCATCTGATCGACTACCTTCCACTACATTATTCATCATCAGCTCTTGCGTCATATGCAACCCATCATCAGAAGCTTGCCGCAAAGTCTGGTGGGAGTTCCTCACCGGGGGATCCTCTGCATATATTTCTTCAATCTCCTCCTCTGAACTTACATCATCTGGAATTTCTAAAGAGACAAACTGATTCTTGGTAATTAAATCAGAATCAAAGTATGCTGCTGCTGGTTTGAGCTATACAGGACTATGGCCAATGGATTTTCCTCCACAATCTGATCCTTAGCAAGCCTTTGGCTTTCTTCATGCACAACTGAGTGCGGGAGGATAACATTTTCAACCAAGCTATGACTTCCATCCACTTGTTTACCACTCTCAGGGGGAATCGGAGGCGGGATATCAACAACGTCAACCGGGATTGATTTCTTCTCCTTATCTATCAGACCTGACGAAGAGCCAACCGCCTTACCACCGTTTGGGACATGCTTCTGATTATTTTTCAGATCCGTCTTAGCCTTAGGCTTCTTCAGAACTACACCTTTTTTTCTGTTTCTCCACATTACCGGTCTTTATAGTTAATTCTCCAGTGGATCAGAGGGTTGCTTCTGTTTTCCAACGCGACAATCAACTTCTTTGTGGCCTATCTTACAGCATTCGTTACAGTAAGACGGGACGTGCTCGTAAGTGAAGAATTGTTCGTGCTACTTTCCTTTCTTCCCTATCTTTACTGATTTTGGGAGCTCCTTTGTGAGGTCCACTTTAACACAGAATCTCGCTACTGAGGGTCGCGACATATTCAACGTTGGCGTGTCCACCTTCAAAGGTTTCCCGATCGCAGTAGCAATGGAGAAAAGAACTTTCGGATGCATATATTCAACGGGAAGATCACAAAGTGACACCCAAATGAGAACTATTGGGGGGTCTTCCTTAAAACAAAACCCTGGCTGCCATTTGAGTATATGCATAGAGAACCCTGCAATGTTCCAAAACGTTCGAATCCAACAACGATGATAATCCTCTTCGTTTTCGAAACGAATTAGAATATGCCGGGGATTCATCAGACCAACAGTATAGCTTCCATGAAAGCCAATCCTTTTAAACTCATTGTGAATATCCTCCATTTTTGGTCTCCATAGGAGAATTTCCCTACTAAACTCAGACGATGAGGCTCGACTAATCGCGCGAACTCGTCATCATCGAACTCAAGAACTGGAGTTCCATTCCCGTATTTGATTTCCTTGATCAGGGAGGCTTTGGATGATTTTGGATCGGATTGCTCCTCGAAAAGACTTGCAAAAGACCTTGGAGGCCCAAAGGGAGCCTCCGCTAAAGAAACGCCGGCCATAATGGCCGGAAAAGCAAGATTTCAAGATGATCGCCGCTAGGAATTAGGGTGCGCTGCTAGAGTTTCAAGATTAGTTTAGTTCAATTCACTCATAAAATTCTTGCAAAGTTTTCAAGATCTCCGAAAAAAGAAAAAAAAATTCACTCCCGAAGCAGAAGAATATACCACATTTGCTCGTTTTTTTAGGAGAGTATTTTACCAAACAAAATTTCAATAGAGAGATCTGGATCAAAAATATATGTCTCGAAATGGTGTGGACAAATCTAGTTGTCTCGGATTTGCCAAATCTAAAATTATATAAATTCGGATTTGGTAAATCCGTCCTTGTAACACAACACTAGAATGCATCATTTAGTGTTCCGAATCTAGTACAAAATGGGTAGATTCGAATTTGTCAAATTCGTGACAACTAATTTTGTCTACCTAAAATAGATAAAAATCATTTTTTTCCACATTTATTTTTGAAAATTTTTTTGGCCGAAGCACCCTCATTCAGGAAGATGAGTACAAATTATCAAAAATAATGTGATCATTGAGATCGGTTTTGTGTAGCAATTGTTAATTAAAAGAAATTTACCCCACCCCAAGCCAGATATGATGGTTAAGTGCGGAGCATATTCAATTTTATTGTTTTAGAATTTCTGATGTTACCAATTCCAAGTTAGAAGTTGGAACTCAATGAAAACTATAAACTGGAAATTAGGGAGGAGAAAAAGGGATATTGACTGTTCTTTTTGTACATAGTTGCAAATCAGATCCTACGCGGCAATTATAAAATATTATATAAGGCATATGAACATGTTATTTTAGGAGATAGTTTTAAGGAGTCCATCTTGGGTGGTACCGGGATCATGGTATACCCTTTCCTCTATTTTGCACTTGTAGTCTTTACTATATTTTTTTTTTTTACTTTTTTAAATATCTTTCTACATTTTACAAGTTTTTATCCCTGTCACTTTCTTCTCTCACCTTCAAAAATATCTCTAATCTTCAAACGAGCATATCTCTTAATCCGTGAAAAATTAAAAAACGTATTACACGTAAAATTTATTGTATTTGCCGAGATCTATCCAACCATATCCATATTGAATATTTTTTTCCAACTTAAAAATGACAAAATTTTGATGGTAGAAATAAGATGGATATCTAGCTTAACAAGATAGATAACCAACTTATTTTAGATTGATATTGTTATATTACTTATATCTCATAATCTGTAAATAATTAGAAAACGAATTACAAATGAAATTTATATTACTCGATGAGATCTATCCGATAACATCAATATTAAATATTTTTTTTGAAACATAAAAATAATTAAAATATTTCGGATAGAGATGAAGAAAGTATTGTGTTGGGTAGCCAGTACAAAGACGTTGGAGAAGCACTAGAAAACTAATGGATAGGCAGCCTAATTCAAATTCTTTATCACTTTTTTGTTGATGGGAATATGTACATTCAAAGAAATTGAATAAACACTACAAAACCAATGAAAATATAGATTTTCTCCGACGACAAAGCAAAAAGCATACTCATTTGGCTGCCGATCATGAGTGAAATTATAGAAAGATACGATAGTCGATCATCAATATATAATCTATCTACTAGATTCGCACAAGATTTGCACACATTGTTTCTTTTTCTTTTTTTTTAGAATAATAAACATGGTATCCTCCGAACCGTTTCTATCCATGAGCTTACATTCCCTTACCATTATATTTTGACTAATGAAGGTTTGGCAATTGCTTAAGCAAGGAAAACTACGTCAAATGATATTAAACCGTATGGTTAATGTAATCTATAGAATATCACACAAGATTCCCACAAATTTATTTATTTATTTATCTTTGATAAACTTGGTTATTTCCATAGTTAAAAATTTGGCATGTGCCAACCAACAACATGAGCAACAACAGTCATCGAAAGAATTGATATTCTTTGAATGAAAAATAAGAGGAATTTACAAGTCATATTATCAAAACACGATACCGGCGTTTCCACATTACGGATCTTTTGGCTCGTCAAGCGTGGGCGAGGTCAGTGCAAAATTTGAGAATTAATTAAAACCTATATCTTATAAATATATTTTTGGGGCAAACCTTTGGGCTATCGTTTTAATGGAAAAACCTTTGACAATTGAAAGTTGCCCGTGAGGAGTTACAAAGAAAAAAAAAAGTTCAAATTCAATCACAATATCATTTCCAGAAAATGTTAACTTTCAAGGCTGCAATTAGCATGGGGTTGGGACACTGACAAGTTATTGCTGAGGTTGGTAATCTCAGTGTGCTTCATATGGTTGAGAAGAGAGACTTTACTGGCATGCACGAAGTCTAGTCCGCGGCATTTGTGAGCTGATCAAAAGGAGTTGGACTATGCATATAAGACATTTATTCCGAGATCAAACTTTCCAGCTGACTATATAGCATCTTTAGCTACAACTTATCCGGTGGGCTTACAATGGGTTGTAAATCCCCCGTCCGGGGTGAAATCGTGGTTGTCGGAATCTCTTATTCACGAAATATTTTAATTTAAAATATGTTAGACTTTAGCCTCCTCTTTTGTACCAAAAAAAAAATGTTAACTTTACTTGAAGATTTCGACATTTTGAGATCAAGATATATGCGACTGCTTTTTAAGCTCATTGTAGTAACAGAAATGTATTTTGCTAAAATAAGCCATTACTCTTGTTGTTTGTGGTCAAAACACAATGATTTCTACTTCAGAAAGTTCGATGATAAAATATAGGATTGCCAACAATGAGCACGGGTAGGAGGAATGTGCTTCGCCTAGTGTAACAACTTTGATGGATGAGTCATGAATTTCAAAACCGTTATCAATTGGGCAAAAGAAATATGATTTGTACCAAAATTAATCTAATGAATACAAAATGAAAATCCCAACGATGATTTTAGATAAATGCAGCCAACGCAGTCCCTAATACTATAGTCCAAACGTCAAGAGCCTCCCGTAAAACTCTTTCAACCTGTCCGTAAAATTTTGTCAAAAAGGGAAGAGTCTTCACGAATCACAACGTTTTCATTTCAGATCACAGGTTGTGATATATCATGGCTTTTTTTCCCTCTAGGAGACAAAATATACTGTTTTGGTTGTCCAAACATGACACGGAATCATATAAACATTTAAAACTCAGAACTCTTCTTATGAATCCATCGGGCATCCAAGAAGCAGACCATATATAGAGCTAATTCCCAAATGATCTAAATGAAGAGATCAGGTCACTGGAAAATTGTTGAATATGTGAAGAAAAAGAGCAAGCTTATTTATTTATTTCGGTATATATTCCCCCGATCCTTATTATAAGTCATTTTTTATTTGTCTTCGATTTTTCCTAATATGCATCTCTTTGTTAACAAAAAAAAAAACCTTAAAACCATATTTTCACATCAATTATGTTCTTTTAATTATTAGAAATTTGTAATTAGAAAAACATAATAAGTGAAATACGAATCAAAATATTTTATAATAAGGATCGGAGGCACTCGGCATTCCCGGTATTAGCGACCGCATGATGTTTCAGGAGTGTCTTATCCCCGTCATCAATGTAACCTTCTTTATACTTGTATAGCTTTATAATACAACTCCTTGTTTATCATGGAAAAAAAATTGCCTATGAGTTGTATGAAAAAAGAGGAAGACTCTCTTTTTAGAGCCTCCATTCTTCTATACCTCCTGGAGTCACCATTTGTTCCCTTTGGAAATTTCAATCTCTTCCACCATTTGTTGGACATCTAAAAAAAATAATAATAAAAAAAAATGTCGACTGTAGTTGTTAGTCAGAAACAGTAAGAACTTTGCAGAGTTTCGCTACTAAATTACTCTATAAATTCTTAATTATCCCTCAAAAATGGATTTCTCACTTATTATATCAGCCTGCATAAACTAATTACTGGAGTAAACTCCAACATACATTTCAGAATAGACAACTTCTATTACATTATGTTTCAAAAATGTTTTGACACCTACGGTGGCCTTTCGAGTCGATCTCAAAAATCTCCTTTTATGATGCTAGCTCTGACTATCAATTTCTGTTAGAACTCAGCACTTTTCTCCCACAAATGTTTCATAGTAGTGTCAAAGTCTGAAACAAGTCCCATAATTCAGTATTCATAAAGCTACAAAAGTTTACATTCATAGTAAATTCCACTAACCATTTATCATGACAGTCTCTAGTAAACCCACCCTTCTTCAATGTAG